GGGATGGGGAATACATGTAAATCCATGGCTAATTCATTTCAATGTATGACAAAAACTACTGTAATGATGTAAAGTAATTAGCCTCCAACTAATAAAAATAAATGGAAAAAAAAAAAAAAGAACAGGGGTCCTCAAGCCTGATGCTCTGAGGTGGAGCTGATGCAATAACAATAGAAATAAAGTGTGCAATTAATAAAAATAAATAAATAAATAAAGACAATTGCATTACAAAAAAAAAAAATTAGTGTTTATCTTTTTTCCATTTTTTTAAAATGCCCTATGTATGAGATACAAAATTTTAAATATATTTGTGTAGGATGTAAAATTAAGTAGGATGTAAGATTAAATTAATATAAATAGAAATCTATTATATTTAAATTATTAATGACATCATTCAAGATGCTATTTTTTCTGCCTTGATAAAATAGTCTCAGAGAAATGCTAATATATCTCACAATGATTATATATATTTTTTCTTTTCCCTTTGTTTCTTCGATTTTTGCTTTATGTTTGCATCTTGTTATTAGGAGTCTAACGGTTTATGATGTCTATCTTGTTTGTGAACCATACCTTTCGTCATTAAAAATATTTATCCTTATTTCATTTAAAAATAAATTAATTTAAGAAAAGATCCAGATAAATGGAAAGACATCGCATGTCCATAGTTTGGATAACTTAATATTAAGGTGAAATACTCAAGTTGATCTAAAGAGAGTAATAGACTCATAAATATCTCAGGTGCCTTCTTTTTTTTTGGCAGAAATTCACAAGCTAATCCTAAAATGCATATAAAACATAAAACAGCCAGAATAGACAAAATATTATTTTTTAAAAAAAGGACTTCTCTCGTGATCCAGTGGTTAAGAATCTGCCTACCAAAGCAGGGACCGAGGTTCAATCCCTAGTCTGGTAAGATCCTACATCCTGCACAGCAACTAAGCCGATGCACAACTACTGAGCCCATGCACCTAGAGCAACAGGAGAAGCCACCTCAATGAGAAGACTGTGCAATGCAACTAGAGAGGAGCCTGTGCTCACAGCAACTAGAGAAAGCTCAAGTGCAGCAATAAGACACAGCACAACCCAAAATACGTTAATCAGTTAAATTAATAAAGTTTTTAAAATAAAAACAGCGTATAAGAAAAGAAGGGTGCTTCCCTAGTGGTCAGCGGTTAAGAGTCCACCCTGCAATGTGGGCAACACAGGTTTGATCCCTGCTCCGGGAAGATCCCACACACGGACAAGCAACTAAGCCCATGCGCCACAACTACTGATTCTGTACTCTAGAGCCCAGGAACCATAACTCCTGAGCCTACCTGCTGCAACTACTGAAGCTCGTGTGCTCTGGAGCCTGTGCTCCGCAACGAGAAGCCCAAGCACAGCAACGAAGAGTAGCCCCCGATCTCAGCAACTAAAGAAGGCCTGCATGCAACAATGAAGATCCAGCACAGACAAAAATAAATCTTTAAAAATAAAAAAAGGAAAAACACTCACTATAGAAAATAATCTGGTAGTTTCTTAAAAAGTTAAACATAGGACTTCCCTGGTGGTCCAGTGGTTGAGAATCTGCCTACCAATGCAGGGGACGCGGGTTTGACCCCTAGTCCAGTAAGATTCCACATGCCACAGAGCAAATAAGCCCGTGTGCTACAAGCCCTGAGCCAGTGCTCTAGAGCCCTCAAGCCCCAACTACTGAGCACACGAGCTGCAACAAGTGAAGCCCACGCTGTGCTCAGCACCAAATTGAGAAGCCCGCACGACGAAAGGAATAGCTCTCGCTCACCGCAACTAAAGCCATGAACACCCAGCACAGCCAAAGACAAAAACAAATAATTTTTTAAAAACTTAAACACAGAATTATCAAATGACCCAGCAACTGTAGGTTAATACCCCTAAGAATTGAAAGCATTCTCACACTAAAGCTTGTACAGAAACATTCACAGCAGTATTAATCATAATAGCACAAAGTGGAAAAACCTATTGTTCATCAACAGATAAATGGATAAACGACATGTGGTACATGCATACAACAGGATATTTATTCATTCACGAAATGGAAATATGTACAGCTTTGAAAACATTATGCTATTAGTGAAAGACACCAAAGGCCACATTTTGCTTGAGTCCATTTATATGAAGTGTCCAGAATAAAGACAGAAAATAGATTCATGGCTGACAGGGACTGAAGGGGCCAAAGGGAGGGGATGCAGGGGGAGTGGGGAAGAAGGAGAGCAACTGCTTAATGGGGACAGGTTTTTCTTTGGGGTAATCAAAATGTTCTGGAAACACAATAATGCTTACACAATACTGTGAGAGTACTAAAAACCACTGAATTTTACACTTCAGAAGGGTGAATTTTATGGTATGTGAATAACATCTCATTAAAGTTATTTCTTCAAAGACCCAAGGAGAGAAAACGGGGACTTTCAGCAACTCCCATCTCAAGAATCGGATCCCATACCCTCAATTCCACTGTGGACTAGCTAGTAAAACCGAAGGTCCACCCTGAACAAGCCCCTGAGGCTTTACCATCACCTCCACTCCACCCAGCATCAGAGAAGCTGTAGCTTAGAAGACATGGCGATAATATTCCAGAGACTTCTCCATCCAACAGCAATTCATGTTGGAGAGTTATACCCCAGCCACGCAAAAATCTCTCCCTACCCCAAACATCAGTAACCTCAAAGAAGCATTTGGGGGGACCAGGGAGCCCAGCAAAACCTGCTCTTGGGGGAAAACCCGTCCTTGGTGCAGAGCAAGGACTCCGAAGAGTTGTAACCAGAACAAAGGTTCCCGTCCCCCATGCCCCGCTCCACCCCCAACACACCTGCCTTTCACCTAGAGAAGGAACGGCAGCTCGGGGAGGGCGGGGAACGGAGCAGAATCGGCTCCACCTGAGCTTCTTATAAAGAAGGGGTAAAACACTACCCCCTCGAGGGCACGGTCAGATTTGCCCGAGCCAGCGGACCCCTGAAATCTCCCAGCACCCTCTCTTCCAATGCACAGGCTCGCTGGTTTCTCATTTCCCCCCAAAAAAGGTTTATATATTGGGGGGTGGGGGGGGTGGGGGGACACCATTAAGGGTCAAAAGGCCTGCTTCCCAGGCTGCGCCCTCGGCTCACGTGCCCAGACACCTAAGAAAGCCAACACGCCACCACTCAGCGTCACTGACTTTCACAACCCAGCCAGAGAGTACCCGGCAGGCCTCTGGAAGGAACTGGGGCTGAGAGAGGTCAGCCTGTCACACTGACGCAGGCGTCCCGGGGGCCGAGCTGTTCCCACACAGCGAATAGGTACACTCTCAACAAGCTCCCCGTTCAGCCACCCACTGCTCAGGGAAACGGAGACTGAAACTAGACAGGCCCGGCACTGACCCCAAGTCACACCTCCAGTCAGGCCGTACTAGTGTCTGCCCAGCTAGGAAGCAAAACCCGAGGGCACAGACTACTGGTTTGTTAGCCCCGGCAGCACGAACAGGGCCTGGCTCGCAAAAGGCGTTCACCAGGTGGCCGAAATCAGCACCGCCTGCACCGACCGAAAACTAGGGCCAGAGAGGACCGGCTCGGAACCCCGCGTCCGGCTAGGCGCCCACTGTCCCGGCGGATAGACTAAAGCCCAGGCGGCCGCCGCTGACGGAAACTTACCGGGCAGGGCGCGGTCATGGCGGGACCGGGAGCTAAAGAAGCATTTGGGGGGACCAGGGAGCCCAGCAAAACCTGCTCTTGGGGGAAAACCCGTCCTTGGTGCAGAGCAAGGACTCCGAAGAGTTGTAACCAGAACAAAGGTTCCCGTCCCCCATGCCCCGCTCCACCCCCAACACACCTGCCTTTCACCTAGAGAAGGAACGGCAGCTCGGGGAGGGCGGGGAACGGAGCAGAATCGGCTCCACCTGAGCTTCTTATAAAGAAGGGGTAAAACACTACCCCCTCGAGGGCACGGTCAGATTTGCCCGAGCCAGCGGACCCCTGAAATCTCCCAGCACCCTCTCTTCCAATGCACAGGCTCGCTGGTTTCTCATTTCCCCCCAAAAAAGGTTTATATATTGGGGGGTGGGGGGGGTGGGGGGACACCATTAAGGGTCAAAAGGCCTGCTTCCCAGGCTGCGCCCTCGGCTCACGTGCCCAGACACCTAAGAAAGCCAACACGCCACCACTCAGCGTCACTGACTTTCACAACCCAGCCAGAGAGTACCCGGCAGGCCTCTGGAAGGAACTGGGGCTGAGAGAGGTCAGCCTGTCACACTGACGCAGGCGTCCCGGGGGCCGAGCTGTTCCCACACAGCGAATAGGTACACTCTCAACAAGCTCCCCGTTCAGCCACCCACTGCTCAGGGAAACGGAGACTGAAACTAGACAGGCCCGGCACTGACCCCAAGTCACACCTCCAGTCAGGCCGTACTAGTGTCTGCCCAGCTAGGAAGCAAAACCCGAGGGCACAGACTACTGGTTTGTTAGCCCCGGCAGCACGAACAGGGCCTGGCTCGCAAAAGGCGTTCACCAGGTGGCCGAAATCAGCACCGCCTGCACCGACCGAAAACTAGGGCCAGAGAGGACCGGCTCGGAACCCCGCGTCCGGCTAGGCGCCCACTGTCCCGGCGGATAGACTAAAGCCCAGGCGGCCGCCGCTGACGGAAACTTACCGGGCAGGGCGCGGTCATGGCGGGACCGGGAGCACCCAAGGCGCCTGAGGAGCGTGAAGAAGCAGCGGCTGCCGTTGCGGCGCGTTCAGTTTCCGCGCCCCCAACCGCCGCCAATAGCAACGTGGGTCTCTTCACCTCGCCCCGCCCACCGCGGTTAAAGGAGACGCGACGCCTCAGGTTTTTGCCCGTCGGCCCGAAGGAAAGCCGTAGGGCCGGGTCCACGGTCTCTGCGTCTAGCGCCACCTGGCCAGGCAACCTACGGACGGCGCCGCCAAATGCCTCTGTTCACCGTCACACATTCCCCCTGAGAAATTAAAAATTTCAGGAATAAAGGGTTCCCCCACCGACCCGTAGCCAGGCTAAAAAGACCATGAACAGAGCCTTCTGGGATTGCAGTTCCTAGACGCTCCTCATCCTTGTGTCTGGAGGGTACCCGGACTACATTTCCCAAGATGCCACGAGGGTTGGGGCCGGGATTAACCACCCAAAGCCAACGCTTTAAGGATCCCGGAAGTAGAGGGTGTGGCTCGATGTGCTTGTTTTCTCTAAAGACGCCCGTGAGGCCGATTTTTCTCTCAGTACCCCATTCAGAGCCAATTATTCGCCCTTCAGGAATTCTTTAAGTGGTTCGCTCCTCCGAACGCGCTTAAAACAAGTGTCTGTTTAAAAGAACACTAGTCGCTCAGGATCACATCCGTGGAGTCGAAAAGTCCTGGGATATATTCTCAGTTCTTGCCCTGATTCGCTGTGTGACCTCGGGGAAAAAGGAACCCTGCTCTGTGGACCTCAGTTTCCCGGTTTGTGATATAAGAGGGTGTTTCGCAGCCTGGCCTTCTCAGGACCCTCAGCGCTGAGTACCCGATGTAAATTACAATACCAGTTTAAAAAGAGGAAACAATGGAGGGACCTGTCCACCAGAGGCCGTCCTTGCTCACTTTTTGCTGTCCTTAGACTCGCGCCCCCACCCCCACCCCCACCCCAACCCCAAACTGGGCCTAATCTAGACTGGACTTTTTTCAAGATTTGTGAATCTTCCATCACCTCTCTGGTGAAGTATGGATTGTCCATACTTAAAATGAAGCAGGGCAAAGGCTAACAGAGTTTTGTCAAGAGAACATACTGGTCATAGCAAACACCCTCCTCCCGCAACATGAGGACTCTACACATGGACATCACCAGATGATCAATACTGAAATCAGATTGACTATATTCTTTGCAGCCAACGATGGAGAAGCTCTATACAGTCAGAAAAAAAAAAAGACCACGAGCTGACTGTAACTCAGATCATGAACTCCATATTGCAAAATTCAGATTTAAATAGAAGAAAGCAGGGAAAATCACTAGGCCATTCAGGTATGACCTAAATCAAATCCCTTATGATTATACAGTGGAAGTGATAAATAGATTCAAGGGATTAGATCTGATAGAGTGCCAGAACAAATATGGATGGAGGTTCATGACACTGTACAGGAGGTGGTGATCTAAACCAACCCCAAGAAAAAGAAATGCAAAAAGGCAAAACAGCTGAGAAAAGAAGAGAAGCTAAAGGCAAAGGAGAAAAGGAAAGATATACCCATCTGAATGCAGAGTTCCAAAGAATAGCAAGGAGAGATAAGAAAGCCTTATGTGAGCAACGCAAAGAAATAAAGGAAAACAATAGAATAGGAAAGACTAGAGATCTCTTCAAAGAAAATTAGAGATACCAAGGGAACATTTCACGCAAAGATGGGCGCAATAAAGGACAGAAATGGTATGGACCTAACAGAAGCAGAAAAGATTAAGACGAGGTGGCAAGAATACACAGAACAATACAAAAAAGATCTTCATGACCCAGATAACCATGATGGTGTGATCACTCACCTAGAGCCAGACATCCTGGAGTGTGAAGTCAAGTGGCCCTTAGGAAGCACAGCACTATGAACAAAGCTAGTGGAGGTGAGGGAATTCCAGTTGAGCTATTTCAAATCCTAAAAGATGATGCTGTGAAAGTGCTGCACTCAATATGCCAGCAAATTTGGAAAACTCAGCAGTGGCCACAGGACTGGAAAAGATCAGTTTTCATTCCAATCCCAAATAAGGGTCATNTCCAATAATAATTTATTGACACTTCACATATACATTAGCACTAAAGCTAAACTTTGAGCATGTATACTTTGTAGAGACTATGAGACTTAAATCTGTACTCTGGCTTTAGCATTTACCAAATGTATAAACTTGGACAAGACATTTACAGCTCTAAGACTCAGTGCTACCATCTGCAAAGTGGACTATGACTGCTTTTTCATCAAATTTATTCAGGATTTAAGCTGAGTGTCAAGGAATTGATGCTTTCAAACTGTGCTGCTAGAGAAGACTCTTGAGAGTCCCTTGGACAGCAAGGAGATCAAACCAGTCAATCCTAAAGGAAATCAACCCTGAATATTCATTGGAAGGACGGATACTGAAGCTGAAGCTCCAATAGTTTGGCCACCTAACATGAAGAGCTGACTCACTGGAAAAGACCCTGATTTGGGGAAAGACTGAAGGCAGGAGGAGAAGGGGACGACAGAAGATGAGATGGTTGTATGGCATCAATGATGCCATCCAATGGACATGAGTTTGAGCAAAACTCCAGGAGATTGTGAAGGACAGGGAAGCCTGGCGTGCTGCATTCCATGCGGTCGTAAAGAGTCAGACATGACTGAAAAAATGAACATAAACAAAACATAAACACTGATTAAGATTTGGCCAGGCCCTGAGGTTTCTCATGATATATAAATATCTAAGATGGTGTGTGCCTGGACCTGCATACCAGAGCCCACTGCAGTGAACTCAAAGATTGACAGTGGGTCGGGGAAGGGGGCAGCAGGGGGAGTTGGCATGTGGAGGAGTGAGTCTCTTCTTTGGACTTGGAAGGTCTGGGGCCAGACATTTTAACCCTAAGAAGGAAATGGCAACCCACTCCATTACTCTTGCCTGGAGAATCCCATGGACAGAGGAGCCTGGCAGGTTACAATTCTTGGGGTTGCAAAGAGTCAGCAGGACTGAGCAACTTCACTTTTCACTTTCAATTTTTTTAACCCTAACTTCACTGTGATTTGGCTTAAAATTGGTTCCTGTATGTTAGAAGGGGCTTCCTATGTTAGAAATGTTCAGGCTCACTTAAGTTATACACTACTAAATTCTCCTTAAAACATATATAGTATCACTTACACACATCCCAAAATCGTTCAGCTGTTCAAATGACAGTTTTCAAGCTTTTCCATCAACATCTGCATCTTACTCAGCTATTCTCTTGCCTACTGGCCAAATACTTACAATGAAAATACTAAGGAAGAAACAAATACAGAAAACCATATCTATTACACATACAGGTTCATTCATTCTTGTTGCTGGGTGGTGGTTTTGGTTTTGTCAGTTGTAGTTAGAGAATACCTCTGGTCTACAAGAGTTCATAATCTACAAAACTGCATTTATAAAATCCTTCAGGAAAATGATTTTTAAATGTGACACTTGCTCTCAGTGAGAGGCAGTGGAAGATTTTACTTATCCTTGTTGGTCTTTCCAGCTCCCACTGTCTTTGATTTTTACACCTCAGGGAGGAGGAACTGAGGATGCCCCACTGCTCTTGCTCATTTACTCATCATAAAAATACAGAGGTCAACTCTGACAAAACCACACAGACAACCTAGGATCCACCACAAGCACAGTCTCCATAAACCAAGATTGGCGCCTCCATGTTCCATGTTCTGGTGGAGCAGACTAAACCCCATTTCTGACTGGGAACTCCATGGGAGCAGGGGATGCTCAGTGTTGGAAGAGCTTTAATGTTGTTGGGGGGATCTCCATGTTGAGGAGGCTCAGAGAGACCTTCTTTTCCAAACCCCCTATGGCAGACATGTCTCTGTCCTGGTACACAGCCCACACACAGGGCCCCTGTAAGGGGGAGCCTTTCACCCTGTCATCACTCCCAGACCCCCTGCCACAAGGGACATGTGGCTTTCCTAAGGTTGGGGTGAACCAACCTAAGAAACTGCTCACAGATGGCGCTCCGGTAGCAGGTCTCCCTGTTATGGGAGTGACCCCTGCAGGATGACCCTCCCTAGGAAGACCCATTGCAATTCTGGGCCTCAGGGGAACCCACTGTGAAACTGGCATGCCCCTGCAGGTCAGCCTTCTTATAGGGGAGGCCCATCCCAAAGTGGGGAGAGGTTCCATGGAGTCCCCAGCCTTCAACCTCACCTAGCTCTGCTCCACCATCTAGCAGCAGTGGCCACTCTGGGTATGCACACAACTTCAGCCTGCCCTTGAGTGTTGCAGACAGTGGGTAGCATGACTAGAGTCACCACGGCAATTCCTGCGATGATAAGGTCAGTGCACCCAGGGGACTCTGGGGCCAGTTTTTAGAAAGACACAGAGCTGGCCAGTAGCCACATTCCTCACCATCCACTCAAGCCAGACAGGGATGCCTCTGAGTACTTCTACCCACACCCCATAGGCATGACAAAGCATGACCTCTATCCCACAGCCTCAAGAAACCTCATGAGAGATGCTGGACCTCCATTTCACATTGTCCAGGGAGAGGGGAACTGGCCAGGCAGCCCAACTATGTGGAGAGGGAATTCCACAAAACTGAGCCCCAACCCCCAACCCTGGCTCTGCACACGTGAGCTGGGAGAGGGATGCAGACATACACAAAAGGTATAAATCCAATTTGAACCATTTCCACTAGAGAAAACTTTCCAGTAGACAATTTGAACAGGGCTTCAGAGCAGTGGTTCTCGGCCCTGGCTGCTGTTCAGAACCTCTGCAGGTGGGGCCAGGCACTGGTGTTTCTTAAAAGCTCTCCAGGTGAGTCTAGTGGGCAGCCACAGCTGAGAACTTACTCTCGAGATGAGTGGAACTGAGAGATCTTTCTGTGATGGTGAAAATGTTCTGTATGCACACTGTCCCATGAGGTAGCACTGGTCACACGTGACTGTCAAACACTTGAAATGTGGCTACTGTGCCTAAGCAATGGGATTTTAAATTTTGTTCAATTTTAATAAATTTAAATGTAAACAGCCATATGTGGCTAGTGGCTACAATACTGGACTGCACAGTCCTAAAAATAGGGACTG